CTGGCAGTCCCTCTGCTTGCCCACTCCTGGCTTGCAGGCTTGGGTGGCCTCCCGGTCCGGGTGGAGAGCAGGCGATGCTTTGGGGGTCGCAGTGAGCCCCGGCAGGAGGTAGGGACGGCTTTTCCTGCCACGCTGTTTGGTTTGTGCTTCGCTGTCTGTTTGGAGCTGCTTGCGTGAGGTTCCTTTCCAGAAAGCTTCACCCTGACCAGCACCATCCTGGGGCCTTGTCTATTCTTGTAACTGCTTTGGCTTCCCTTTTTTTAATACAGAAAGCCTTGTGCTCTAAATTTTTCTTTCTCCTTCACCGTTTAGATACAAAGTAAGTGATTGATTTAGCATTGCAATCGGATGCTGCTTCTTCCTTTACTCAAGCCTTGTATCTTAGATATTTCCTAGAGGAGACAGGGCGTTTTCCATTGCAGGGAGGTACCGTCTTCCTGCTGGGTCACAGGAAACAGTGGCAGAGGTCTGTGGCGATCTTTTTGCCTGCCCTCATCTTGGAAGGCACATCTCCTACAGGATGTCCCCGAGACCTTTATCCGTGCTGGTGTTAAATATGCCAAGAGATAGTGCTCCCATCACTTCCCTTCAAGAGACACATCTAGGCAGGCCCATCCTTTTGGGCAGCTGCGAGCTGGTTCTCAACTCAGAAGCAAAGGGCTTTACAGATACAGTCTGGAAAAATTCTGCAGACACCAAGAAACCTAAACTCACCAGTGTTTTCCAGGCCGACTGGATAGCGTGTGGTGGTTTCAGTCCAGTCTGTTCAGTAGGTTGAATTTCCAAGTTTCAGTCTGCATGATATTAAATAATTCTGAACTCCAACACTGTTAGATTAATATTCCCATTTGCTATCCATGGGTATTTTTCTCCTTAATAAATGGCTAGTTTAAAATGCTGTATCTTTGCTTTGAGCTCTCTACCTGCTGTTCCATGCCGCAGGTTCGGATGGTTCTGCTTTTTTGCATTAGCCTCATTTCCACAGCCCTGAACTGTGAAGTAGAAACGTTGCAGCGTTGCGTAACCTCTTCCGATGGGGGAGA